TGTGAGATAAAACACACTTTACGTACTTAAAATTCCTCAAACAAATCTAAAATCGGTTTTTAAAACCTTTTTCCGACCAATTTTGGAATTCTGGCATGGCAACACGGGCCATGCTTTGGGCAATGGCACTACCACTCGCGACGGGCGGTTTTACCTCGACCTGACCATTTTCGAGCAGTTTTGGCTGGTTTTGATCGGTTTTATATCCATCCCTGCGAAAAAAAACGTTAAGAGGTCTCGGTTGGTCGAAAAAAGTCAAAAAATAAAAACCTATCGGCAGCAAAAATTTTTGGTGCAGTGGCTCCACCGGCTCACATTCGTGGCTGGACTTTTTCTTTGGTCAACCTGTAGAAAACAGAATGGTAAACACAATAGTGAAAAAATCACACAAAACAGGAAACGGGAATGAGCTCATCTGTAATACCCAATTACATTTAAAATTAATTTATAAATTTTAATTTAATGTAAAAATGAAGGAAAATAGGTGGAGGATGAAATTGAAAATAATTTTGGAAAAAATGGGTGAAAATTTAGGACCTGGGGGTATTTTTGAAAGAAAAATAAAAAATTGAGTGGTTAAAAGGTAATTTAGAAAAGTTATGTCACGTAGGACTGGAGCGCGCCACATGGCAAGGGACACTGATGCGGTGTCATGCAGGAGGCCACGCTGGCGATCCGCGTACTCGCGATCGGACGATCCAGATTCATTCCTGCGTGCATGGATGACTTGGATGCGTTCCTTTCCCAAACGCGATCGGACGGTCAGATTTAAACACGATCAATGGTCTAGATCCACTTCCTATTTAAACGCGATCGGACGACACAGATCAGATCGCGATGAATGGTCCAGATTCACTCCCTATTTAATCGCGATCGAATAGTCCAAATCAAACGCGATTGACGGTATAGATTAAAAAGGGACGAATATAAATTGTGAAGATTGGTGACAAAAAGGGGTCACCGATATTGGTGACGGCTGGGAGGTTTTTATCTGGGAGTAATAGTGTGGGTGAGTGGTCGGGTCAGGGTCGAGTGGGCTGGTACGTTGGGTAATGTTGGGGTGGCCTAACGTGGTGACTTCACATGATAGGAAATGGGAGAGCTGACGATTTTCTTCGAGGAGATGTTGTAATTACAATAGGGGTAGGTGAATAAGAAGAAAAGAGTGGGGGTAGAAAAATGGCGTGACAAAATGAAAGTGGGGACCTAAGAGAGTAGGCATTTAACTGGATTTACATGCTATGTTTATTATTTGAATTTACTTTAGTGAGTTTGTGTATACTCATTACATATCACTTACAGATGATGGAGTACCGGAAGCTGGACCAGAGCTACGTGCTTCCGAACCTAGCGCGTAGAGGGGACAAAATAGAGAATTTGAATAGTGAAACAGAATACTTATATAGTTAATAGCAAGTAACTCATTTTGAAATGAGATTTTGTGAAATTATAAGCTACCGTATTTGTAGCAGCCCCGGAAATTTAAAATGGAAATTATATTATAAATATCAAATGCGGAAGCGAAGTCAAAATTTGAATAACATCCCTTACACTAAAACTAAAAACGTGCTCACAAAATATAAAAGATTAAACTACCTAAAGGAGAAACTTGAAAGTAAAAACTACGAATGTGACTATGGAGTCTTTAGGCGTCCCCTTCGTCGTCCTCCTGCGGAACCGGCTCGGGAACGATGTCCTCTTGATCTGAAATGATTAAATAAGGAATGAGCTACACTAGCCCAGTAAAGACATCACGATATCTCACCGTCACGGAGGTAAAGGTGGGTAGAAAACACAAAAAGACCAATGAAGCATAATTTACAACAAATCCTTTTATTAATAATAAAACCTTTACCATTCACTTACCTCGGTGAAATTCATAAAACAATATACGAAAGCAATAACATCATCATCATCATAAAAACATATATATGAACTGTATAACATAATACCTATCAAACTTTTCGTAATTCAATCGTTACACAACATATTTTCCTAATTCACCAGCCCACTAGTATCCATGGGGATCCATAGGGGTCCCGTTACCCGTTAATCCTTAACACTTGAAATCCATTCCAGGGCCGTCCCCATACCCCGTCCGGTATGGGCGCCAAACCATAGACCTCATTACCCCGTCCGGTATGAGGGTGAAACGGGCCGTCCCCATACCCCGTCCGGTATGGGCGCCAAAACATAGACCTCATTACCCCGTCCGGTATGAGGGTGAAACGGGCCGTCTCCATACCCCGTCCGGTATGGGCGCCAAAACACATAAGATCTCCATACCCCGTCCGGTATGAGAGACCACAATCCCGGTAGGGTTCCCTACGGACCCGGTCCGTCCACCATCTCCCAGGATATCTAGTCAGGCTGACCACATTATACCATTACCCATTTACATAATTTTTTCATTCTCTTTTTCCTCAGTCAGCATCATTAATCCACATACAAGCAAGCAAACAGTAATTTATGCTAAACAGACAACATACAACATCAATATCCCGGTCATTTAATCCATAATCAATAAAACAGTAAAATATGCACACGAAACTATAAAATGAAAACATCGAACCTCATGCTGCATTTAAAACTGTAAAACAGGCCAAATAACAGTTAACCGACAAATACACTAGACTTGGGCTCCATTAGCGACCTTAAGCAATTTCACACATTCGTTGATTCATGAAATACCGTTTTATCATTTATTGAACTTTAAAACCGTGATAGGAAATAAGGTGAGGGGTCCTTACACGTTTCGGGGTCCGAACACGGCTTCACAGTGCGCCTACAGGCTGTCCCTAATTTTCCCTGAATTTTTCTCGGGGAACTGAACGCACTACTGGTACCTGCACGTGTTCTAAAAAATCCCAAATTGGGCACAGGGCCCCTTTCGGCCAATATCGCAACTCCGGCACGGCGGCTCCGCCATGCTCTGGCGACGGCACCGCCGCTGGCGGCGGCGATTCGCCTCGGGTTGGCTGTTTTCGGCCGTTTCTGGCCGAATTCGGCCACACTCGCATCGGTCCCTGCGAGAAAACAACCCTAGGGCCCTCGGGGGGCCAAAAAATCACGAAAAAACGGAGCTTACCGACGGCGGCGCTCTCGGGTGCGGCGGCTCTCCGGCGAGGTTCGTGTTTTGCTGATTCGGCTCCGGTTAACCTGTAGAGAAAAGAATGGTGATCACGGTGATATAAAAATTGAATCAAACGGAGGCTGGGAAGGGCCTCATCGGAGGCAAAAACCGAGAAGGGGCGCTGCGGCGCCGTTGGGCTTCTGGTTCGTCTTCTCCGGCGAGCGGCAGGCGGCTAGGGTTTGTGGTCTGGTGTGGGGGTTCTATTTATAACCCTTTGCCTTTTGATCTCAGCCGTCCATTTTGTTTTAATCTGGGCCGTTCGTTTTTGATTGAATCTGGACCGTCCGTGCGATTGCATCTGGGTCGTCCGATCGCACGCTTGATCTGGGCCGTCCGATCGCGCCTACACGGATCGCCAATGTGGCCCGTTCCGGAACGACGTGGTCTTGCCACGTGGCAGGTCCCGGTTGGCCGGACCTGCTGACGTGGCTGCCGACGTGGCTTTTTTTTTTTTTTTTTCGGCCCCTTTCCGGGCGCTACAGTATTGATAGATATACATTGGAGTAACTTCAATAATTTGAATGATACATGTTATGTCACGCATGCTAGTAGAGTAATAATAATGCCGCTGAAGAAAAAGAAGTAAGGACGTTACAGTGGGTACGAGAGTCCCACATTGCTTCATAATTATTGTACATGTAGTACATAATTAATAAATGTATTTATTTTTATTTTTTATTTTTATAAAAAAACTGTCTTTGCCGACTGTGACTAGAAAATATCTTTTTGCCGTACCTACCCCGCCATTATGTGGCCAATAAAAATATTATTTTTTGAACAATTTCATGTTGAAATTGAAGTTATCACATGTTATTTTCAGATTCAAAATTATTCTGTAGTGTTTTATTTTTTCAACTATTAAATTTTTAGATTGAATTCATGTTTTTAATTAATTTATTACTCTTTATTTAACATTTTGAAAATCAAATTACCATACCACGTGCCTAAATTTGTAATCTAATGACGATATTAAATATTCCTTGATTTGTTTTACAATGATGCGTGGGGGATACCAATATATCATTTTTTATAACTATAAATTATTATTTATCATTCATTCATGTTAATTATAATTATTAATAATTTGTAATAACAGTATATTAATTATAATTATTATATATATTATGATTATGAAGACATCTCTCTCTCTCTCTCTCGCTCTCTCCCCTCTATATACACATACATACAAGCATATACTATCCTCAAAATATATATATATACATTACATGCTCTTCCCACAAATATAAATACATATATATATGTATACAAAAGAGCTCCAGGCAAATTAACCTCTTCCATTGGTGTTGCTTTCTGTCCTTTCGTCTTCCTCCTTTTCCCTCTGTTTGTCTTTCCTTTATCCTCCATGGCAGGAGCTCTGTTCCGCTTCACTACCACCGTTTCTCCAAGCCGCCGGCCATCTTCCTCGGCGCCGATGATGGTCAACACCTCTTCCAGCCAGTCTTACCGGACCACCGCCGACGCCGCCATTGAAATCCATCTCAAGCAAGCCATTCTTATCCGACACCCGCTCCCCGTCTACGAGCCCATGCACCACCTAATCTTCGCCGCCCCTCGAACCGCAGCGCCCGCCCTCTGCATCGCTGCGTGCGAGCTCGTCGGCTGCCACCGGGACCAAGCCATCGCCGCAGCCTCCGCCATACACCTCATGCACGCTGCTTCCTACACTCACGAGCACATGCAATTGACGCACAGACCCGACCGGAAGCCCGCAATGATCCATCACAAATACGGCCCGAATATAGAGCTTCTAATTTCAGATGGAATTGTACCGTTTGCAATGGAGTTGCTGACCCAATCCGACGACCCGATCCGAAACAACTCGGAGCGAATCTTACGTGTGATTGTTGAGATCACACGTGCGTTTGGGTCGCAAGGAGTGGTGGAGGGACAGTACTATGAGTTACAACAGAGTGCATTAAACGACGGCGGATCGAGTCAAAGGGAGCGGAATGAACGAGCGGTGGAGAAAAAGGAAGGTAGGTTGCACGCGTGTGGAGCTGCGTGTGGGGCAATAATAGGAGGTGGAAGCGAGTTGGAGGTAGAGAAACTTCGGAGGTACGGTTTTAATGTTGGGAAAATAATAAAAATATTGAGTGAATATGAAGGTGAGAAAGACGAGAGGTTTGTGAAAATTGTGGAGGAGATGAGAAATTTAGGTCTTGAGGAATTGAAAGGTTTTGAAGAAGAAAAAATTGAAGCAATTCGTAGTTTCGTTAATCCTTAAATATCACGTACAATGTGGGTTCTAACTAAATAGTATATTATTATTAAGACACTGTTTTTTTTTTTTTTTGATAAATTAATTATTATATTTGATGAATCTTATATTTTTTAAATTAATATCGTGTATAGTAATTATAAAATACAAATAATATAGATACGATTGAAATTTTTAATAATTACGATGGGTTAATTTTAAATAATTATGCGAATAAAATTTAAGTAAACTAATACTAACTAATGACATATTCTAATTTATTTTTTTTAAAAAAAATTTAATTATTAATTTGTATGTAATACAAAACTTCATCGTACAAGCATGAATTCTTTAGTTTTGAATAGTACATATCATGTTGTTTCTCACATAAATGTAATTGATTTTTTTACTTCATAGCCAGCTGTTACGATACTCACCAACTACGTATGTACACACACTTAATTTAATATTGATGAGACTATTAAGACCCTTTTATTTTATTCTAAAATTATAAATTTAAATTTTATTAAATATTTAAAATTTATTATAAATTAATAGTGGTAGGTGACATAATTCAATATAAATAAAAATTTAACTTATTGATATATTAGTAAAATTATTATAAATAAATTGCACTATTTTCAGTAAATTTATTATATTTTTAAATAAAAAAATAATTGATAATAATTAAATTTATTAATTAACGTTGTCATAATTAATTAAAATTTTAATATATATATTTTTAAAAAAATATGAGACAATCTTTTTTTTTTTTTAAACAAAAAATTAATTAATTCTTTAATTTGGGAAGATTCAACTTGGTGTAAATGACAAAAGATCATAATGTACTCTATAATCTAACCAGATTTATTCAATTATTTTTTTGAATTAAGTGGGACAGCAGCCCCATAAATTTGGAGCTGCTCTGTTTTTTTTTTTCCAGCTATTTTTCAATGGCAAATAATTGATGCCAGTTAATTCTTAATTGGGTTTTTGGGACTGCTGCCAAATTGCAACTCTTGGTTATTGAAGAAACAATTTGACTAATTAATAACTCAATTAAGGATATGTTGAGAATAAATTTAGAATTTTTAAGAAGAAAATTTATTACTCCACAATTAATTTTTTAAGTTGATTTAGAATAATATATTTCAAATTCTATATAAAATTTTTATAAAAGTCAATTTGTATAATCTTTTAATTGGAATATTATGTGTGAATTTATTTATAAATATGTTTTATGAATTTTTAATATTTAATTTTCATAAAAAATTGTTATTTGCTCCGTAAATATATATTAATTGATATGTCTAACCTCTTTTTTTAACTAAATACGGTTATCTCAATTAAAAAAAATTTAATATCATGATAATATTTTTCGCATCTAAAAATGTAATAGATTTGCTGATATTTAGCCAAACTTTATTATTACATCATCATTAACATACTAGTAAATTAAATTTTTAATTTTATTAAATTAAATATTATAAATTAATCATTGCTAACTCAAAACACACGCAAAATAGCAGATTTTAAGTATTCATTGAGATTCATACTAATTATTTTTAAATAAAATATAAGAATATTAATTATTAAACTATTGTAGTATTAGTTTTTTTCTTATAAGAATATTAGCCATTAAACCACACGTAAATATAAGAATTGTTGTATAACATTTGGGTAACATGCAAGAATCCTAGTAACAAGCAAGTATAGTAGATCATCCTCAAAAAATTAATTCAATATCAAGTGAACAAATACATCATGTAAAAGACATTAAATTGATTAAAATAAAAATAAATTAAAGTAACTTAAATTCGAACTAAATCAACTCAATGTATGTAATATCCAACCTCAGAATTCGATCTCGGATAAATTTTTTCATTTATAAAATATATATAAATAACTAAAAATATTATTTTAATTTTATTTTATTAATTTTTTTGAAAAAAATAAGTTAGAAAAAAAATTGAGAGTAATTTTGAAAAAAATGGGTGAAATTTTGAGTTCAGATAATGTTTTTGAAAGAAAAATTAGAAACAGAAGGTTAAAATGCAAAAAAGAGAAATTCGACCACATGGGATGACTCAGGCAGCGGCAACGACGAACCAGAGTACGTTGTGTTGCAAAACACGCTGACTTTAGTGCCACATGGGTGATCTGTGTGCCCAGTGATCCGACGGCCCACGCGTGTGAATAACTTAGATGCATCACCAATTTAGGCGTGATCGGACAGACGAGATTTATCGCAATGAACGATCCAGATTCACCGACGCAATCAGTCTAAACAGGCAACGATCAGACGGCTCTCCTCACTATATGTCGATGCGAACGGACATCCCAGATCGATGCGAGATAGGTATTTAAATATCACATCATAGGGAAACCCTAACTCTAGCTGCACCTGTCCTCGCTGGAGAAGAAGACCAACCCCCGGCTGCTGCCGCATCGGAGCCATTGCCGATTGCCAAAAAAAGTAAAATTCTCTCATACCTGCTCGAAATTTAATTTCGAGTCTTTCTATGGCCATATCTAAACAAAAAGGATGGTGGGTGAGCTAAAAATCGTGGGCAAAGTGTAACAGCCCTGGAATTTTAAAAGAAAATGTATATATAATAAAAATTCTAAGTGCGGAAGCGGAATAAAAATTTTGATTAATATCTCTTACACAATAATCCAAACGTACTAAACGTATGAAAGAATAAACTAAATAAAGTAAACACTAGAGATGAATGTTATAAATAAAACTTTGAAATCTTTAGACATCTACTCGCTATTTTCTTGCGGGACGGGCTCGAGAACCAAGTCTTCCTGATCTAAAATGGTTAAGTAAAAAATGAGCTACACTAACCCAGTAAAGACATTACACTATATCACTGTCACAGAAGTAAAGGTTGGTAGAAAACAAAAATGACAAATAGAGCATAATTTATAACAAACTCATTTATCAATAATAATCTTTACTGTCCACTTATCTCAGTGAGATTCATGAAAAGAGCTTATGAGAAATAATAACATCATAAACATCATAAGATCATGCACACTCTCTAACATAACACATATCATACTTTTGTATTTCAATCATCAGACAATAAATTTCCTCTTTTATCAGCCTACTAATATCCATGGGGATCCATAGGGGGTTCCCCGCTACACGTGAACCATTCACATTAATAACTTAATTCCAGGGTCGTCCCCATACTCCGTTCGATATGGGCGCTAAAACCATAAACCTCAATACCCCGTCCGGTATGAGGGTGAAACGGGTCATCTCCATACCCCGTCCGGTATGGGCGCCAAAATACATAAAGTCTCTATACCCCGTCCGATATGAGAGACCACGTTCCCGGTAGGGTTTCTTATGGACCCGGTCCGTCCACCATCTCCCAGGATATCTAGTTAGGTTGTCGACATTATCCATTTATCATTTCACATACCTTTTTTTATTTTTCTTAATCTCAATTATCCAATCAAACATTTATACACGTAAACCAGTAATGGACACCAAACAAGGCAACACAACATCGGGTTCATAATAATTCAAACCATAATAAATGAAACCATGATTCATGCATACAAAACCATAGAATAAACACATCAGGCACCATACTGCATTCAAAATTGAAAAATAAATCAAACAACACCTGACCGAAAAATACATCAGATTCGGACTTCATTAGCAACCTTATACATATCTATTAATTCATAACATACTATTTTATCATTTATTAAGCTTTAATGTCGTAATAAAAAATAGGGTGAGAGATCCTTACTTATTTCGGAGTCTGAAATCGGGTTCTCACTGCACCTACTCGCAGTCCCTAGATTTCCTGAATTTTTTTCCAGAAATTGAAACACACTTCCAGTACCTGCACATGTCCCCAAAAAACCCCAAATCAGACCCAGGGCCTTTTCGGCCAATTTCAAAATTCCAGCACGGTGGCTCCGCCATGCTCCGACAACAGCGCCGCCGCCCGCGGCAGCGATCCGCCTTGGGTTGGCCGTTTCTGGTCGTTTTTGGCCAAATTCGGCCAAACTTGCATTGGTTCCTGTGATAAAACACCCCTAGGGCCCTCGGTGGGCCAAAAAATAACAGAAAATCGAGACTTACTGGCAGTGGAGCTCTCGGGTGCAGCGGCTCCTCCGGCGCGAGTTGCGATTTGGTGTTTTGCTCCGGTCAACCTGTAGAGAAAAGGATGGTGGTCCTGGTGGTGTAAAAATTACATCGAACAAGATCCAGGAAGGGCCTCATTGGAGGCAAAAATCGAGGGAACCCGCGGCGGCGCCGCTGGGCTTCGACGGTATTTTTCAGCCAATTGGCCGGTGGTTTGGCTCTGATTTGGCCACATGTGGATTCAGCATCGAAAAACGAGCCAAGGGGAGAAATTTTACCTTGTTTGGTGGCCGAAAAATCCTCCGGTGCGGCGGCGGGTGGCGGCAGCCGGTTCCTCCGATGGCTGGGTTGTCTTCTCCGGCGAGGGCTCTAGCGGCTAGGGTTTGGATTTGGGTGTGGGTGAGGTTATTTATAACCTTTTCTTTTTAATCCGAACCATCCGATCACGATTAAATTATATATAAATTTGGGCCATCCGATCGCAATTAAATTAGAAATAAATCTGG